AGCCGGAATGTAACAAATAAGAAGTTTACAGAAAACTTACCTTCGCGAAACCCTAGGAGAGCGTTTCGACCTTACCTACCCAATTAAAAAAAAGGTGGGATTTTTCTGGAGGGGTTGACTGCCGTTGACCGGCGTTGACCGGCGTTGACCGGCGTTGACCGGCGGTGACCGGCGGTTGACTGGTTGATCAGTTGCTCCAGCCCAGTCCAAGTTCCAGCCCGTCCAGAAGCAGTCCAGCTCGGTCCAAGTTCCAGCCCAGAAGATTAGCAGCCCTAGTAGCTCAAGCCTAGGCCCAAGTCAGCCCAAACTAACATTCCAGCTCCAGGAATCCACATCCCAAGTACCCAATAGCAGTCCGTGTACCAATGTGCGTTCCTTCTACGCGAAATCTGCGACTATGAACAGTGCCCTGTGCGTCGTCTTCCTTCTGCGAACAGCGACTCAGCTCCAACGAGTAGCGACCTCGATGGCGGAGCTCTCAGGCGACGAACCGGTGACTGTCAACTCCAGCGGATGATTCCGGCGAGCAGCTCCAAGCGACGACGGTTCCAGGCGGACGGCGAGCTTCTTTCCGGCAACGACGGCTCTAGCCTGGAAAGGATTTCCAGGTGATGACTCCTACGCAGCGATGATTCTGGACTAAGGTCTCCAGAATCGATGCCGGGCAGAGTACGACGAAGAACCAGGCCTCAGGGGACTCCTGCGAGCTCTGGCGGCGGCGGAATGCGGCGGCGGACGGCGGCAGACGGCGAACCTGTCTCTGATACCACTGTAAGGTATTAATTTCTTCCGTCTCCGACTCAGGTCTCCAACCTTTTACACTAAACTCACACACACCACTCTAGCCTAGGCCACTCCATCTCCCATGTTTACTCACTCTTCTTCACTCCACTAAGGAACTCTCACACAAAGGGAAAGGAAGAAGGAAGACACTGCACAAGGAGTATTCTTCTCGCAGGCTTATCTCACAAAGAAGGAAAGGAGCTGACTTTATAATAGGCAGTCAGCCTATTGAGAAGTCACGGGCATAACAACAGGACACTCACGGGTGTAGCCAAGACAACAACAGCTCACGGGTATAAGCAAGGCAAAAATAAGGAGCAGCGGACAGAGGTGGGGTATACTCCAAATAAGTCAACATGCCACCAATGAGTGATTTCAACTCAGGGAATCAAAGTGGGAGTAAACATGGGGTGCAAGCCTAAATAATAAAGTGGCAGGGAGGCCTTGATAGGACCAATACCTCCAACAGAAGTATTAGTTGAGTTTGAGGAATTATAGTACTAGATAAAAAACCTTTCCCATATATAGAATAGATCTTCTCACTTTCTACATAAGGTGATGAAGAGTAGTTTAATATGTCGAGGTAGACGTGGAAAGCACATGAAAGACAATGTATGAAGCTATCACAAATTCATAGTTGTGATATCTAATATCTTTCTCTATTGATAAGCATTTCTAGTACTTCGTATATCCTTTATGCATTGAAGCTCGACTTCCAGTAAGGTAGTATCACTTGAAGGCCAGGTCCTGAGATGGCTAGGATCGATAAACCTGCATATTGAGTTTGGGCTTAGAAGCTTGCATAGATCGAGCTTTAGAACATCAAAACCATTTAGTGTTGTCTACCGAGCACATGTTAATTCACATGTTAATTGAATATATGAATTAGAATAGTGTTTAAATGAAGTAAAAGTATAAAACTGCCTACTTCTTTTAGGGCCAATATGATTGGGGGATTTCGGAGGGGAGGGAAGGGAAGGAGTCATATTTAAATTCAAAATATTTTTTCCATTTTAAAAAATTCAAATAAAGTATAGACAAAATAGTATATAAAAATACATGGTTTAACTAATTTTATAGTTATTTGAAGTTTAAAACTAAAACATTCAGATAAATTAATAAAATAAAAAATCAATCCTCTCCCTCCCTCCCCTCCTCTCCCAAATCCCCAACCAAACTGGGGGTTAGTGGGCAGACTAGTTCTAATACATGGATTATTATTTAATTCGATAAATAAATGGAGAGTTACGAATAGAATCTAGCAATCTCTTCTTATAAGAATTTGGTGTTGTGGGGCCTTTTTGTAAAAAATTTTATTTTTTGTAGGGAATTAAGTAATATAAGACTCCAACGATTTAACATATACATATTTTTAGATTTCTATTCACGGTTCTACCACATTCTTCAGGTTGTGTCTTTTGTTTTCTTAAAATATTTTACAAAATGCCTCCAAAGAAATATTTGTTAGGAGCAAAAAATGAAAAAAAAAAAAAAAATACAGCAGAGGAGATAATAAATTCTCAGAGATATGGATGGATTTATTAAAATACATAGTATATAGTAAGTTCTTCTAATGATAATTTGAGTAGGTTGTGTTTTTCGTTTTCTTAAAATATTGAGTTAATTACCTAAATAGGACAATAAAGTGGCCAAAGAGCACAATTACATCTCAATCTCTTCCAGTATGACTATAAATCAAACCATTGTTTCGCATATACAAATCTCCATATAGTTTACCTAACTATATGGCAGAATTTTATTGTTTCCCATATATTTTCTCCGAAACCATTATTTACCTAACTATATGCTATACAAATCTCCAGACGTTTCGCATATACTATCCTCCGTTTCTTTTTAATCGCAACATGTTGAATTTTACACTATTCACAGGCTCTACTTTGACTAAATTTTACGTTATTATTTTATGGAAATTATTTTTTAAAAAAGATATTGTTCAATTCATCTCATTACAAAGTTTCAAAATCCGTTTTTTAATTTTTTTTTTTTACTAATAGAGATTAAGATATAATTACGGTCAAAGACGTGCGTTGGCAAATGTGAAATGTTGACCGTTGCAACTAAAAAGAACGGAGGAAGTAGTTATTACATTAGAAATATAAATAATGGAAAGAATAAAGATAGAAAATGATTGATTTATTCTAAACAAGTGGATAAGATATTCTGTTTTTCTTGCAAGTTGTTTGAGTCTAAATAAAATAAAAATACTTTAGCAAACGATGGTTATAATGATCGGAAGCACCTTGTATTTAATTGTACGATTAAATACAAATCAAATCATTGTTAAAGATTTCCAACAACAATTTTATGAGAAAAAACGTTTTGAAATTCCAAAATAGGAGTATCATGTTTTTTATTCCTTGAATAGGAGTAATCTGCCAAATTTGGAAGAAAATGCCATGTTTAAAAGCCTTCTAATGCCAAACTTGGCAGAAATTTACTCCTATTCAAGGAATAAAAAACATGATACTCCTATTTTGGAATTTCAACACGTTTTTCCTCCTATTTAGGTCAATTTCTGATATTCTTTTCCTTTTTAAGAAATAATGAGAAATTTTATTTAGATATTTTTTATAATTGGTTGAAATGACATCATAATTTAATGTGATACTGCAAGATTGTGTTATACACATTCAAAGTCATGAAATTCATAATTGTTATCTTGTTAAAAGTTTAAAAAGAGTTATTTTCTATATTGGACCATAGTGTTAAAACTTCAACCATTGGAGTTGTAAAGTTATTCTTAATTTCTATTGGAGTTGTTAAATATTATTCTGTAGTTCTTGATTGTACCCCATACGTAAGTAATCAAGAGAAAATGAGTTTAGTAATGCCATGTGTGAATAAGTCTGCTAGTAAAATAAAAATGGAAGAGTACTTTTTAGAATTTTTAAAGGTGTCAAGATGATACATCTAGTTTAGGACTTCTTAAGGAATTGTTGAATGCTCTTATTATGATAGTAGTTCAAATATGAAAGGAAAACATCAATGAGTTCATAATCGGTTGCTTAAAATAAGTCCCAGAGCGTCAGATATGTCATGTGTTTGTCATAGTCTTAATCTTTTTCTTAGTGATATGACTCATTCTTGTATTAAAGTTGTTTCATTTTTTGTGATTGTTCAACGCATATGTACTTAATTTAGTTTTTATTTAGAGAGATGGAAATTTTACTTGATATTGTCCCAAACATGACCGCTAAATCTTTGTCTAATACATGTTGGGAGAATCGGTTAAAAAGTGTCAAAGCTATCATGTTTCAATCCCAACAAATTAGATTGACTTTGTTTGAGCTCTCTAAATCTTGTGACGATGCCAAGTCAAAAAGTGAAGCATAAAGTTTGATAAGTGCAATTGAATTTTTTTTAATTTTTACTTGGTATGGTTATTTGGTATGATATTTAATATGCAATAAATATAGCAAGTAAAAGAACACAATTTAAATTTATGTGCTTTAGTGCTTCTATTAATCAAGTTGAAAGTATGATGCAATGTTTTGAGAAATATAAAAATTAAGGTTTTGTATCAAGTATGAATAAGTTTTTTAAATGTGTTACACGTGAAATGGATGTGGAGCCTAAGTTGCGATTAAAAGACATATTATTAGGAAAAAATAATTTGATGAAAGAGGGCACGAGGATCGCTTAATTACCATCTGAAGAAGAACTTTTCAGGGTAAAAAGATCTTTCTAATTATTGTGGATACGACTATTTTCTCATTAAATAATATTTTTGAATAATTAAAGTCGTATTTTTGGATTTTTGTTGAAGTTGAATTGGTTGGATGACGTTGAGTTAAGGCACTTTGTGTTAATATTACACATACATGTTCTCATAACAATGTTGTGGATGTGGATTTAGATGATCTTTTTCATTAAAAGTGTTGCATATCACTTTGCCTCATGTATTCCATATCAACTAGAGTTTGTAAAAGTTGCATATTGCTATTCGGATGTCTCTATTGCTTACCCAACTATGTTGACAGCTCTTCAAAGTTGAAACTATTGAAGACATAGTGAGATTTTCAATGCCTCAAAAAAAGATTGAATGACTTCGCGATATCATGTATCGAGAAGGACATGTTGGATAATGTTAATGAGTCAATGTCAATAAAACTTTTAATATACATGTTACTTCATAGTTGGAGACTTTTCTTCTTCTTTTGTCTCCAGTCTATGAATTATCACGACCGGTCCTGGCCTACTCAACTCATCAACATCTTCTTCAATACATACACACACTACTTATACATGCCTATAAACAATAGTTGTATGTCCACAATTCAAACAATGACAAGATTGACGGATGAAGAATATTATGAAATCAGTCTAGCACACACCTTAGTGTTGAAGACAGAGATGGGCAAAAAAGGGAGAGAGAGAGAGAGAGCTGGTGACAAAGAGGAGAAATGTGATGCTAGACGTGTGGAGAGGTAATAACGATAAATTAAATTTCTCCCTGTTTATACAGGGCCTGGCGTGTTCGCATGTTGAGTACGTCCAACATTTTTATAATTTAAGACAGAAACGGAACCTATGTAACTATTTAGAATCATGAAAACAAACAAAGCTAGGAAGCTAAGAGTAATAATTTTGCATTAGCTTTATTTAACAGCAAACAAATACAGATGTGTACTTGCCTAATAGATCAATACTACAATTAACCTTGTCTTCCTTCAAACCACGCCACTCTCCTCTCTGTCCTCACTTAAATTCCCTCCTTTTTCCACCTGGCTGCCTATATACACCACATATACTATTTTAATTCACCCAAACCCATTCTCATCGATCCTCCCTCCTCCACCCACCAGAAAACAACCATGTCTGTAGATCTAGACCTCCGGCAAGTTTCGCCGGGAACTCAAGAATTGCGGCGAGTCTTGTCGGAATCTCCAAAATTCAGGCAAATCTCGCCGGGAACTCAAGAATCCCGGTCAGGATCACCGGTAACCAAAGAAATCGGCCAAGTCTCGCCGATCAACCCAGAATCCGATCAAGAAAACAGAGATCCCAGAGTAAACATCCATTTTTCAGCAACGATTCGGCCGGAAGATCGCAGGTGCAACAGTAAAATCGGTGATCATCAAGAAGAAAAAGCCTGTTTGACGCCGAATTCTCCCCGGAGTTTGATCCCGAAAACGGGCAATTGCCCGCCGGCGCCGAAGAAGCCGGTGATCAGGGCGGCGCCTTCTTGCAAAAGAAAGCTCATTTTTTTCGAGATCGGCCGGAAAGAAGAAATTCAATCTTTTTTCCGGCTTGTTCATCACCATCACCGTCCCAATCCTGATTCTCCCAGCAAGAGAAGCCGTAAATTAGAGAACTGAAAATAAAAACATCAAATTTCCAATTCCCAGTTTTCCACTATTAGTATTTCTTCCTTTTTATCTGGCTCTGTTTTGAATATAGGGAGTGTAATATCATCATAATCATGTATGTAAGGGTGTATTTATTTTAATTTTTATTACAACTTTCAATAAATATATGAATGAATTATTTGAGCTTGCCTTATTCAATTATCATACATGGAATTTCACAGGAACGTCTTGACAGATACATACATATGCATATGCGTGTGTGGTGTGTATATCTTCCAGATTAAGATTGAGAATGGGAATTAGTTTTTCAAGGGATGGCCGAAGAAGAAAGGTAGATGCGGTCTTTTACTCCATTGATTATAACTTTTTAATTTATACTAGTACTTTTTTATAGATTCAGCCATCACTGTATTAAATTCTGTAAAAAAGAACAATCACTGTGTTTTACAGAGTATGTATATATATCAGGCATGTTTATAGATGCAACAATCACTGTAATAAATTGTGTCACAACTGACAAAAAACACACTGTATCATTAAAAATAGGAATAAATTTGTTTTGTCAATTTTATAATCTAATACTACAAAATATGTCAAAAATGTAATAAATTAATTACAAATGCTGTGAAATTTTCGGATTTAAATCTATACATGTTTTCGTTAAAAAAGTGGACTTCTTGAGTGCATTATATATGATCAAAAGTCCACAAAGAAAAGTATATCAATATAATAATGCACTAAATATGATCAAAAGTGAAATTGTTCGCCTTACCGCGATTAAAGACAATAATAGAAAATGTTTGGAAATGGGAAGGATGGCAGAAGAAGAAAGGTAGATGCGGGTTTTCTGCTCTTCTGTTTAAAACTTTTTATATTTACTCGGTAATACTTTAGATGCAATAATCACACTATTAAACGGTGTCAAAAAGAACAATAACTGTGCATTAAAGTTGTTACAAGCAATAGCGATGGAAAATCCATTCCTCCATTCCCGAATTATATTAGTGGTTATTTATGAATAAATATACGAAGCAGGAGATAAATACTTTGTATTAGGGATGGACATGTGTTTTCCGTTTGGTTTTTTATCGGTTTCGGTTCGGTGCAGTTTGGAAAGGGTTAGGAGAATTATTATCAAACAAAAACCATACTATTTTTCGGTTTGGTTCGGTTTGGTTTGAATTCTTACATAGTCTCTTTTTTTAAACTCCCGTCATTAGTTTTGTCCCATAAAATTCTTCTCACTTACTATTTTGGAATGTCCAAAAAATTCTTCTCATTTTCTGTTTTGAAAAGTTATTTGTGGCTAACATCTATTCACATTTTTCTTATTTAACCACAATTACTACTTCTGCCCCATAAAATAGTTCTCACTTTCATTTTTGAGTCGTCCCAAAAATAATTCTCATTTTCCTTTTTAAAAAGTTTTGTGTGGCTATCATTCATTTATCTTTTTCTTACTCAATCACAATCATATATTTCGACTTTATTTTCACTTTCTTAAACTCCATCCAAATCCTAGTGGGAACTATTTTATGGGGCGGAGCTAAGGGAGTATATATCTCCTTCATGTGGGACTACATCCCTTTTCTCAAATAGAAAAAATTCAACTTTTTTAGTCTCATGAGTCATGACTATTATGTCACTTTCACATTTTGTACCTTACTCCGGACTTCACCACATCTTGTCCCATCGTTTTCTCCCGTGACCATTCCTCGTCCTTCCGGCGAGAACTCCGACGGGTTTAAAAGTTTTACTATTAAAACGACAAATAAAGTTTAAGGTTATTTTTTTAATTATACTTTTTTAAATGGCTAAATGTCACCTAAGCCTCTCTAGGATCTATGGTAAAGGGAGAGATGCTTAGGTGATAGTTAGCCGTTTTAAAAAAAGTATAATTATTAAAATAACCTTAAACTTTTTTGTTTTAATTTGTAAAACTTTTAAACCCGTCGGAGTTCTCGCCGGAAGGACGAGGAATGGTAACATGAGAAAACGATGGGACAAGATGTGGCCAAGTTGGAACCAAGGATAAATGTGGAAGTGACATAATAGTCCTCAGACCAAAAATGGAATTTTCTCTCTCAAATATTAGTTTTTACGTGATTTTTTTTTCAAGGATGTTTTCTTTTGGACTGAAATTTGCTGGTCTGGTCTGGTAAACATATGGTCTGGTCTGGTCTGGTAAACATCTGGTCTCTGTGTATTTTATAACTACAGAAGTCTGGTCTAGTCTGGTCTGGTTTGTTTAAGTCTAGTCTGGTCTGGTGTGAGACTGAAAACCGTCCAAAAGAAAACATCCCAAATTCTTTGAAATCTAATGGGGAAGATGAAGAGATAAGAACATATGGAAAGTAGTACTCTGGCGGTATATCCTATTGCAAAAAATGTAATGGTGTACTTCGTATATAATTGTGTGCAAGTACAAGATATTTTATCCAGTACCACATATGCTTCTCTTTAATTTATTACGAGTCCTTGTAGCACGTTCGTGGTGGTCTGGTGGACGACTTCTCTATGGTAAGTTGTAACTAACAAATAAATGAATTGTTTGATTTTAGATAATGATGAATGTAACGTGTTATGATGTGATCCAATTGATCTTTAATTTCCCTTATTTAGTTTAAGAGCCCGTTTGGTAACACGAAAATCGACTGATTCGGTTGATTCTGCTGAAATTTATGAAGTTATGGTTGAAATGGCTGCATTGGTTGATACTATTGATTTAAGAAAAATAAAAAAAAATGATATTTTATTAAAAAAATAAAGATAAAATTATATGTAAAAATAGCTAAAGTGATCATCTACATTAATTTCAGCCAATACAGCCAGAAAAGTAACTTCAACCTTACTCTTTCTTATAATTACACAATTCAGCACGCGAAAACAAAAGTTACGTGTTTGATGAAAAAGTTGACTGGTTAGTCTGATAAGCCGAAAAACAGTGTTATCAAACGGCCTTTAACTATACATGACATTAGTAATTACACATCAAATTAAACGGCAAACTAAAGGCTATTTTTAGATGGTTTTTATAGACAGTGCACTCACTTCCATTCATTAAACATAATGACAAGGATTAGCCTGATATTCTGATAATCGAAGAAAGGTGGATAGATGATGTTACTCAATTGCTTTTGTTTGAAAGCACTCCATCATTTTATCATATAGTTTCATGTTCTAAAACATCTCATCATTCTGGAATGTATTATATATTCCAAGGAAGTATTTAAATATATAGTAGATCGAAGCAGGAAATTAAAGTTGTTTATTATTATATATACGAATCTTATAATTTGAATATATAGTGGTAATTAAACAGGAAAATGAATAGAATGTCTATTATGTCCATATTTCGTTCTCAAATTTGATAATTTTACTATTTAACATATTTTATTTTAGGATTTTTAAATTAAATCTGTGACTTTTAAAGTTTTTGAAAACTTTAGAAATTTCAATGATTTTATTACTTCATGTGTTCTTCAGTTGTTGGCACATATTCATTGTAGGGAAGTTCTTTTAGTAAAAAAGGCTCTTTATTTTACTTTTGGACTAATAAAAGTGAACTGAACACAGTAGAGATTATTTTAACTAAATATTGATTTTACAATTGGGGCAACAATGTGGATTTTAATTGTAAGTGAACTGGAGTCTATGAGGGTAGTTTCTTTTCTTTGTGATAGCTAGTTGGAGACGTGAGTAGTGATTTGGGTGCATGGCACTAGCTAGTACTACCTCCGTCTCAATTTGATGGTACCATTTCTCTCTCCTCTGGTTAACACAAATCACTCTTAATCTCTTACTTTATGTATTAAAATTTATTCAAATTTAATCCAGGTATTTGCGACTTTGTAAAGTTTTTAATGTACTTTCTGAATATATAGTTTTTTTTCTAAAAATAATTTGAGTGCGGACATGGATCCGTTTGCTTTATCGGCAGTCAAACTTCGTAAACCGCAATAGTACTACTTTAATTTGATTGGTATACTTATGTTTGTTCGCTTGATGATTAGCAAGTTAGTGTATTTTCTATAGATGAATACTTGTTCTCGTTTACCATAAAAAGCTAAAAGTGAACTGAAACATGTGTCGAGTCATTGGGCTATAGGAACGAACAACTCCGTAATATTTTCGAACGGGTTTCATATATAAATGAGATTATTGTATTCATTTTTTCTAGGACAAGTGATTTTAATAAATTTAAAGTAGGGTAATAAATTCATTCTACTATTTGATATACTTAACTATATTTATAAGAACGTTGAGAATGAGAATGTGAAAAATTGAAGAATCTAACAACAATTTAATTATGAATGAGGGTTGGTACCCCTAAATTGTGTCAACACACTTGATGTATAAGATGTTATACATTATTATTAGAAGATGAAACCTATTTTTTCCATGAGCTTTTAACTGCGGTTATACAGAGTAGTTTTCTTTTCCTACATAAGCCCCCGTGCACATCGCATTGCTTGTTTGGATCATTAAACGAAAAAAGAGCCATCATACCGAGTAGTTTTCTTTTTCTATATATACTACGTATATCCCATCTACAAAAGAAGTAAAGAACCATTATAGGGATGGCCAGGCCACCTCTTCTTTTTATTTTATTTTATTTCTTGTATTATTCTTTTCCTTTTTTGGATGTGAACATGTTATTGTATTATCTTAATTATTCTATCAGTAGTACTTCTCATTCACTTTATAATTTGTAATCTTTTAGGATTTCACACTTATTGTTTTTTCTTAACATACTCAAATTTCATTTAATTTTATGCATTATTTTAAATTTTTTTGTACTTTCTAAATATATAAATTATATTTTTTGGAAAAAATATATTGTTACAATTACAGATTATATGTTCAATATAAGAAATATTTCACCTGTGAACTAACATACACAATTTTCCTATCTAAGGTCGACACTACATAGCTAAATACGTATCTTAAATGTAATCTTTTATTACTTCAAACACATATGATTACAACCTTGTCAGGAATGTGAAATACTTATCGCTCATAAAAATGGTTTGTGCACAACTATATGCATTTGGATGATATTTACATTAATATTCTTAATGTATTTCTTAAAATTGATTAAGGATGAAACACATAATCAGATATTTTCTGCACAATAATTGTTTGACATGGAATATAATTATTCCAAAAAATTTTAAATTATACGTAGTATATGATGAACCCGTTTGGTAACACTTAAATTGGCTAATCAGCGGCCTCTACGATTTTTGGTTCTGCCGCCTAGGTTTCCCTAGGACCGGCCGGTCATCTATCAAACTGTATTATTGAGGAATAGTTAGGAAATAAGCGTTGAGTTCCATCCTGGAATCGTCGTTTCTCTTTAGGGTTCGCCGCCAGGTGCTACAGCTGTTCGTCCACTATCATTTTGCATCAAGGAGCGGGGCCGATTCGGCCATTCTTTTTGTGATAGTCCAGATCTAACGTACATCAAGGGGATGCATCAGGCAAGAGGCGGGGTTATTGCCACAGATCAGGAGTTGACAGATTTGGTTCCGGTCCTCGGCA